TTTTTTTTTTTTTTTTTTTTTTTTGTGGTGTACCTCTCTTCCTTCCAATGGCGACGAAGTTGCAGAGGAGAGAGAGAGAGAAGAGAGAGAAAGGGTAGGTTAGGGTTAACGGATGGATATGCGAAGCAAACGAAAGAAGACACGTGGACCAATCCACTCTCTCTTTTAAAGGCGCATTTAAGCATGGATTCTTTCCCCCCATGCCCCAACGGATTTATTTGCTATTATACGCCCTTCATCTCTACCATTAATATATTTATTTATTTATTCATCGCATCTTCGCTTTTTTGTTTTTTTCTTTTTAATTTCTTTCGGTAATTAAAATTAAAATTAAAATTACTCTAACGAGACAACAATAAATAATTTCCCTTTTTAAAAAAAATAAGAAAATATATATGTAAGTTAATTTATTTTATAAAAAAGAAAATATACATTATATGGAAAAAAGGGCGGTAGGTGCCAGCCTGGCATGACAAATGTACAGCAGCCCCACTCAGCTGGAGCTGACTTTCAAACATTTTTAAATGGCGCAAAGCCGATTAGCTGCCTCCAGCTCGGCTCAAGCCAATCCGTTAACCGAATACTTCCCTTAACAAGATGGTATGATGGGCCCAGGCCCATTGGGCTAGTATTTTATAACAAAAATTATTAAAATATATATTTTTCTCTCTTTTTATTTGGAGAAAATAATTTTTTAGGTATATTATTTTTTATCATAAACTTTTAACTCAGTAAAATTCGACTATTTTAATCTTTACCTTCTCATAGACTTTTTTTTGACATTTCGTTTTAAAATAATATTTTTGTGTATTTATTAAATTTTAAAACATATATTTAGTACAAAACAAAAGGAATTTTAATGGAGATAAAATATTAACGTTTGTTTTTATTAACATTTGTATTTCTACTAAAATTAATTAGTAAATTTAGCAAAAAATAAATAAAAATAATAGCGTTTAAAGTAATAATTAATACACCTCATTAATTTCTCGTTTATTTTAATCATTTATTTAAGGAAATAAAAAATCTCAACAAAATAAGAAATTATAAATTTAAGGTAAAAATTATAAAATTTGACAATATTTTGGTAAAATTGATGGAATAATGAAATAAAGAAGAGGACAATGATAAGGGCTGACATGGCAGATCTGATAACTGTCTGGATGCGACACTGCATACTTTCAAAATCATGCCTCCACGTGGCATTGTCAGCAGTCTGTCTTTTCCACGTTTTATTCTTTTCTTTTTCATAAAAACATAATCTCATTCTTTTCGAATTAAATTAGGGAATAATAATACTTTTTTTAATTGGTAAATATATAAATTTTCATTTTAATATTTCAATTTCATTAAATTGGATTATAGATTTAATAAAATGTTTAATAACCTTAACTATTCTAAAACTCACAATTTTTAAAATTAATTTTTCCAAAATTTTAGAGCAACATATATTTATAATTTAAACTTCACAATTTGGAATTATATATAAATAATGGTTTTTTTTATATGTATATATTTATTTAAATTAGGCATTTTCGTGGGTAATTTGGTTTTTGCAAGCTTTAATTGATAGCTGATTTTTTTGACTTTTTTTCCTTTTAAGATTTTTATATTGATTTTAATTAGGCATTAATTATGATTTATAAAGTCAAATTATATAAAAAAAATGTGATTAAGTGCAAAGTATCTAATTAAAATTAATTTAGTGGAAAAATGTTCAGCTTTATAGGAGGTGAAATTAATATTTCCCATTAATATTTTTATTTATTTTTTATTTTTTCCTAAATTTAAATTTGGTATGATTAAGGTTTAAAAAATATGTGGATATATAGAAAAATATTTAAATTAATGTGGATAAAGTAAAAAAGTAAATGAGTGAAAATGACAGTGAAAAGGGAAGCAATAGATTGGATGGGTAAAAAAGGGTAAATTAGAGGAGTCAGATTCAGTGACTATGTACTGTTTGCCTTTTAAATTCTGAAAAAAAAAAGCTGCTGTTTTCACACCTAATCTAACTTTCAAAACTCTATTTCATGTCCCTTTCCTTTTTTTTTTTTTCATTCCATTTCTCAACTCAATTAATGATTTCATTCCATTTCGAAGACAAAATCAAGCGTTTCGATATGAACGATGAAATCTCGAATAAAATGATTGAAATTCATTGATCGATAGAAAACGAGAAAAAAAAAAATGATGCAGTTCCAAGAGTTTTGTCGATCAGACGTTTATCTTATACTAGTTGTAAGGAAGGATTTTTCTTACTTGTTACGTAGATTGAATTGGGTCGAAAAATTATTTTATACACAACCTATAATTATTTAAGGTTAGTTCGGTTGGTGGACCCGAACAACCCAAAATTTAATTCACAACCCAACTGTCTATTTTTTAAATGAGTTATTGAGTTGTTTATATATAAGCCGACGACTTACTTTAATAGAGAAGAAAATGTTGTTCTTCAAAGAAGTTCCTGACACCGTCCGCTCCCTTGAAGAACGAGTGACGGAATTGAACGAAAAAGTCGAAGAAATCGACGCAATGAGCAACCGCCTAGATGGGTTGCCAATCAAAAAACTAATGGTTTGAGTGGACTTGCTCGAAGAAAGAGTTACTCCTACAAGCAACTCAAGACCTGTTGGTCACCCTGATAGCTTTGTCGCGCACAAGAAGAGATGTGGCAAAGGTTCAATGAGTTGCAAAATACCACGATGAAGTATATATATATATATATATACATATTCATTTAAAAAATTTATAATTTACTCAAATATTAAGCATCTATAAGTCACAATACATTACTAACATCACATCCGTTATAAATATCAAATATTTTTAATTTTCATAATAATCTTATAAATAGAGTGAGATTGGGTTGTAATTCTATTTTTAAGTTTATTAGGTTGACCTGACAAAAAAAAAAAAAAAACAATCAGTTTATAAGCTGACCAAAAATTTCGACAATTCTCGAGCCATATAATTGCCTCTAAATCTTACTAGATCAACAATATATATATATATATATATACACGTACTTGATTTAAAAAATTTGAAATTCGGGACTAAATTTATAAAGTTATTAAAATTATAGCAAAGTTTTGGATTAAATTTGCAAGTTTAATAATTAATGTTAAATGGTGTATTTATTTATAAAGTTTTAGAATATGTTAAAGAAATAAAAGTTGTGGGAATAAATTGGAAATTAATTAAAACAGTAAAATTGAAAATTTTGTGAAAGAGAAGGCCTGCAGCGAGGCACGTGAGGGTCCCAAAAATTCCTAGACAAACTTTTATATATATAAATATATAAATATATAAATAAATGATAATTTTTTCTCTCTACACGTGCCTGTGATGCACGGCACATGATATGTGGCAGTGATTGAAGCATCATTTCCACTGCCTCCTCCCTTTTATTCATTTTTTTATGCTTCCACTCCCTATTATTATTATTATTATTATTTTCTTTTTCGTCCTTTTAAAAAAAAATATAATTAATTAATTAATTAACTAATTAACCTTTTATATTTCTAACTATAACTATAACAACTAAAATAATTGTAATAACAAATTAGTTTGTAAATTAAGTTTTAGTTTTTTTTTTTTTTTTTTTTTTAAAATATATGCTTATTTTCCAAATTAAAAATATATTTCCTTTTTGTTTTTTTTTTTTTTTTAAATTTTGACTAAGAATTTCAATGTATTATGAACAAAAATAAATAAATAAATAAATAAACATAATTATTAAATACGGATAATAAAAATTAAAATGATACGAATTCAAGTCATTTTTGTTTTCCTCCCCCAACCGATGTGGGATCTCACAATCCACCATCTTCAGGGCTTAGCGTTATTATTGACACACATTCCTTTGTCCAATCGATGTGGGACCTCCCAATCCACCATTATGGGGCCCAACGTGCTTGCTGGCATTGGTTCTCCTCCCCCAACAGATGTGGGTTCTCACAATCCACCCTCTTCAGGGCTTTGTGTCGTTGTTGACACTCGTTCCTTTGTCCAATCGATGTGGGACTTCCCATTCCACGGCCCAATATGTTTATGAAATAAAAAGAGATAAAAAAAAAAAAAAAAAAAAAATAATAGTGTTATGGAAGTGTTTGGATCCGTCCATAACTCTTCCGCCAGCTGAAAAGCCGCCTCCACCCAACCAACTTGCTACGCGGATATTCAACAAATCTCATTCCCCAAAACAGAAACTCCATCGCTCCAGCTCTCATCTCCTCACACAAAATTCCCTCAAATCTCATCGCATCGCCTATATCACGATTACAACAACAACAATCCATTCCACACTCCACAAACACCCATCTCTTCTTCTTCTTCTTCTTCTTCTTCTTCTTCCTCCTTCTCCAATTCCCCCAATGGATTCCTGGGCTTCCATCCCTGTTCACGATGAGTACCAAAAGCTCGTCATTAGAATGAACCCCCCAAGGTATAATGCTCCACTTCTTCGATTCTTTTTTTATGCCTTTCCTTTTTCTTTCTCTTCGGATTTCCTCGCCACGAATTGGGTCTTCGATTTCTCTCGTTTTTAGTTTTTCTTCGCGCCTTCTGAATCTGTTTGTTTCTTTTTAATCGTCGATTCTCAGGGTGTCTATTGACAATACCTCGAGCAGGAAGGCTACTTTGATTAAGGTATTTGAGGAATCGATTGATTTTTGTACGATTTGTTTGCAATTGGGATGGGATAGAACAGGATTCGAGTTTTTTTTTTTTTTTTTTTTTTTTTTTGCTGTTTCTGATTTGGGGAATTTTGTAGGTTNTAGTTCTAATAGGCATGGCAGTTTGCTGGAGGTGGTTCAGGTTCTCACTGATTTGAATCTTATAATTCGTCGAGCTTACATTTCTTCTGATGGTGAATGGTTCATGGATGGTAATAAGCTTTTTTCTATGCCTGTTTTTTCTCTTTCATTTCAATTTCTGTAATGTTTCTTGCTTTGCTTCTTTTTTTGTAGTGTTTCACGTCACTGATCAGCATGGGAAAAAGCTCTGTGATGATAGTGTGGGCGAGAGAATCCAACAGGTACATTTGAAAACTCAGATTTTAGTACTGAAACTTCCATTGAATCTCATTGAATTTGATGCAATATCATGCTGGTTAATCTACAATAGTTTCTCTAGAATTAAGAACCAATGGGAACTGAAGTTCTTGTGATTGTGATTGAGATGACCTATTGAAGGGAAGAAGTAGATAAGAGAGAAATCAAGGAGGGTTTTGGTCAAATTACACTCAAATTGAACTTAACGTTTGGATTTAGTTGCTGAACTGTTTTGAATGAGGAAGAACAGACAGTAAAGGTTATGATAGTTGTCTGTGTCTGATTTATGTCGAATTGCTTTAGCATAATTTTGTGTGGAGTCATGTGAAAGGCTGGTTATGCTTTATGTTTAAGTTCACTTATTGGATGGAAAGTAAAAGGTTTCTTGTCTCAGTCACTAGGGCCGAGGGCGCGTAGTTTCAGATCATTAAGGAGGTCGGTAGGTGTCCAAGCTGCTGCAGAACATACGACGATCGAATTGTCTGGACGAGACAGGCCAGGCTTGCTGTCTGAGGTTTTTGCTGTTCTTACAGATCTCAAATGTAATGTAGTAGCTGCAGAGGTATGGACGCACAATTCAAGAATGGCTTCAGTCGTTTACATCACTGATGACACGAGTGGAACGCCGATAGATGATCCCGATCGGTTGTCTAAGATTAAACAGCTTCTCCTCTATGTTCTTAAAGGAGATAGAGATAAGCATAGTGCCAATACTGCTGTTTCAATGAACTCTACTCATAAAGAGAGGAGGCTGCATCAAATGATGTATGCAGACCGTGATTTCGACTTGAATTATGCGAGTTGCGGCGAAAGCTATCAGAGCAGGCCACTTGTGACAGTAGAGAACTGTGTTGAGAAGGGATATACCATTGTCAACCTGAGATGCCCCGACCGACCCAAGCTACTTTTCGATACCGTTTGCACCCTGACTGATATGCAATATGTCGTGTACCATGCAACCATCATTGCTGAAGAGCCCGAGGCTTATCAGGTCGGTCCGAAGTTGTTGTGTTTATCGAACTTTCGTACTTTTTCTTGGCAGTCCCATTTAATAGAAATATATGAAAATTTCAATCTCTCTAACTTTCTGGCAGGAGTACTTTATCAGGCATGTAGATGGAAGTCCTATTAGTTCAGAAGCAGAGAGGCAGAGGGTTATCCATTGCTTGGAGGCAGCAATTAAGCGACGAACGACCGAGGTATTTACACGAATCGGAGTGAACGATTTAACTCTTATCACATGACTGGTTTTATACAACTTTGTTATTCATACTATAGGGTATAAAACTCGAGCTTTGTAGTGAAGACAGAGTCGGGCTATTAAGCGACGTAACGAGAATATTTAGAGAGAACGGTCTTTCTGTCACTCGAGCTGAGGTTACCACGAGAGGAAGTCAGGCAGTGAATGTTTTCTACGTGACTGATGCATCAGGAAACTCAGTAAGGAGCGACACGATCAAGGCAGTACGGGAAGCCATTGGACTAACGATACTCCATGTGAAGGACGAGGAACGACAGTCGAAGTATCCAGCACAGGAGGGGTCGGGATTCTCATTGGGAAACCTGTTTCGGTCGAGATCGGAGAAGGTACTTTACAACTTGGGTTTGATAAAGTCATGTTCATGAGGAGTAGTAGGAAGTAGGAAGAAGTAATATTGATGTAAATAGTAGAATCATCATCATAATCCTTCAGTAAAACAGCAACAGAGGTTTCAAATCAATGGTTGTTGATATTGAGACATGGCTTCATCAATCAAAATACATGGCTTCATTTAGATTCTAACTTGTACAATCATAATAATGAATGTACATAATCAAACTCAACTCATCATTTTTCTCTCTTCATTTATTTTTATTACATAGTTTCGAGAATCCAAATCTCTAGCCTATCTACCGAGGACATGTTTCCTAGCTGGCTAAGTAGAATTGAGAACCTTGTAGTCGAGAGATATCAAATTTCTAATTTCTTTGTCGAGAACATGTACGTATCTTAACTGGTTAAGTTGGACAAAACCCTATTGCTAATTAAGTTGAACTAAGCTCTATTTTGTCTCGAGAATATGTAGATATGTTATCGAACTGAGCTATAAAGAAAGGAATTTGATTCAAGAATGTTCAAAGTATGAAGAAAAGAGGGAAATTGGGAAAAGGTGAAGTTAGAAGGAGAGGAGGAGGAGAGGATGTTGGGTCGCTTTCAGAAATATTGGTTGGTTTATGGGCTGCAACGCAATTTCCCAATACACGTGTCTTCATCCTGTCGGCTTTACTACTTTCCAATAATTAATAACACACCCCGCCTCTCTTCCCTTTTCCCCCTTTCCCCCCCCCCCCAACAACCCGTCTTTTTCAACTTTTTCCCCATTTTCCTTTTCTTAAAAAAAAAAAAAAAAAAAAAAAACTTTAATTTTAGATGAATTAAATCCTATTTTTGTTATTAATTTTTACAAATAATAAGTGATACTAAATGCAATTGCAAATAATAAAAATATCTCTTAAGTATAAAAAATATTCCTATAATATCCAAAAAAAAAATTAAAAAAATTAAAAAAAAGTCAAGGTTAGTTTTGTAAGTTCATAAAATTAATGAAAAAGGTTATTTTGGACATTTTGGGGATTTTATTTTTTTAAAAATTTATTTGAATTTTTAAAACAAACTTGCGTGGGGGAATCGTTACTTCCTTATCTAAAATGGCGGTGGCAGTGGCAATGGCAGCGAGGCTGAAACTTGTTTCACTGCCATCTTCTCTCCGCTCTCTTCGTTCCTCGCTATCGCCATCTTCCAGGAATTCCTCTGCCGCTCCCACAATATCTGCATCTCAATACACCACCACCACCAGCAGCAACCCTAATTTCAAACTCAACATGCCATTTTCATCTTCGTCATCACCGTCTTCTTCTGCTACTGATGGCAAAGTTATCGATTCGCATCTCCATGTCTGGGCATCTCCACAAGAGGTAAAATCGAATCATTCATTCCTCAATCTCTGTTTGTATAAGCATGATAACCTACCTATGCTGACTCCCATTTTACTCGATTCACTCTCTAGGCTGCTGCACAATACCCTTACTTTCCAGGCCAGGAACCCACCTTAACAGGGCACCTCCATTTCTTGCTCCAGGTAATCCTCCCACTTATCTTCATCTTGATTCACTAATATAAGCATTCACCCGATCCTACATGGATTTATCCTACATGGATTGAAGAGGGAAACGAAGCATTACTCATAATGATGGGAAACCTTTTCTTATTAGAGGCCTTTTAAAACCTTTCGAAAAAGTCTTTTCGAAAAAGTCTAAAATGAAAAGTCGAAATAAAACAATATTTGGTAGCAGTACCCAACGAAAAATTTCATAAAGCTTTAGACTGAATAGACAACATTATATACCTATTGTGGAACTACGGAGAAGGCTGTTTCAATGACATCTCACAGAATTCAACTCTTCATATTTGAATCTCTGGATTGATACCTGTGACAAAGATAAATAATCAGCTAATCCAAACTCATTAAGTTAAAACATATAATAAAGGAACAGCTACAACACTCATCTAAATTCAAGATCCACCCACATGAAGTAATCATCATTTACTGCAAACCATATTTACCATATAGGCTTTCTAGGAAGCTATATTTTGACAGCATTTTCTGTTGGATGATGGAAGTCCTACGTCGACTAATTTAAGGGATGATCATGGGTTTATAAACAAAGAATACTCTTTCCATTGGTACGAAGCTTTTTGAGAAAGCTCAAAGCAAAGCTATGAGAGCTTATACTTAAAGTGGACAATATCATACCATTATGGAGAGTCGTGTTCGTCTAACATTTTCTTCAATCTGTCCAAAACAAATATCAGTCCATGGAAGAAGCAGGGGTAGATGGTGCGCTTATCGTCCAGCCGATCAACCATAAATTTGATCACTCCTATGTGACAAGGTCAGTGTTGAGTGCTGTTGAAGAAGAAGCATGTTAGATGTTCAATTAACTATGACATCCCAAAGTACTTCTTCATCCCGAATCTTCTATGGACAGCGTAATTAATAAGTATCCCAACAAATTCGTTGGTTGTTGCCTAGCAAATCCAGCAGAAGATGGAAGTGGAATTCAGCTGCTGGAACATCTTGTAACAAAGGTTTTCGGCTACTTCTCCTATCAAACAACATCTACTGTTCTAACTCAGCGAAATGATTTTGATGTGTTCTCTTTTCCTTATAGGATGGATACTCGGCTGTTCGCTTTAATCCATACTTATGGCCATCAGGTCAAAAGGTTTCACCCTGATTGCTCTGATCTACTTCCTACTTCCTACTTAGACATGTTTAATGATATATGCAGATGACAAATGAGGTGGGGAAAGCATTATTCTCTACAGCAGGAAAACTTGGGATTCCTGTGGGTTTTATGTGCATGAAGGTAGTTTCAAATGTACCCTAATGGGCTTCCTATCAGCAAAGATATGATAAGAGGTAAATCCTTTCAGGGACTAAGCCTTCATGTTGAAGAGATAAAAGAGCTCTGCACAGAGTTCCCTTCAACCAATGTTCTGCTTGATCACTTGGGTTTCTGCAAACCACCCGAGTAAGCCAACAAAATGGGGGTTTCATTAATTCTAATACTTGTTTCGTTAAAGCTCATCCTACAATTTACTAACCTTGTGCAGAAATGAAGAAGACAGTCTTGCAATTTCCCAGCTTTTGGAGCTTGCAAGTTTTCCCCAGGTAAAAGTGACCTTAAAGATATTCTGATCACCTGGCTTGGTTTCTTCTCCTGTAAACCTGGGAGTCGATTTTAAGGTCACAAAGTTAATTCTGATAACAAGAATCGAGTAGTAAATGAATGAAATCCTGAACCTGAACAAAAACATGGGAGTCAATGCAATTCTGAACTATGTAACATACCAAAATCTTTCCATCATTTGTTCTCCTCCTTGAATCCATTCACCACCGACTCCCATGCTCCCCTTCTTCGAGTCCATGCAATCATAATACTATTGTACTCTTGAAATCATCCTAAATCGTGGTATCTATGTTTCTGTTTGTGATAGATATATGTGAAATTCAGTGCACTATTTAGGGTGTCAAGAAGGCCATTTCCATACCAAGATTTGTCCCACCTCCTCTCTCAAATTGTATCCAGCTTTGGAGCTAACCGCATCATGTGGGGGAGGTATTGATTTCAGTTCCCCTGCTAAAGATTAAAAAAAAAAAAAAACTTGCAGGTTTAGACATGAAGGCATGCTTTACGAGTATGATGATTTGAATATGTCGTGTTTGTTACAGTGACTTCCCATTCGTCGTTCTTGAATGCGGATATAAAGGAGCAATTGATGCAGTATCAGTATTAGCCAATGAAATCTCTCTTTCTTCTACCGAGTTGGAGTGGATTAAAGGCAAAACCGTAGCGCATCTGTTTCAAAATCGATGGATATCTTAATCTAACAGTCTCAATGGTGTCTAAGGCCCCAAATTACCAAGACTTGCAGTAGGAGAGGTAAAAAGGATAGTTATGGGGTTTGGCAAATTGTAGTGGGAGGTGATCGTGTCTTAAATAGAAAACAAACACAAGTTCCAGCTTTTTGTTTGATCACTTATCAAGAACATTCCTTGGCACAGATTGACACAAGTAATTGTGTAAGGGTATAAACAGAATTGCCTTCATGTGTTGAGAGCAACAAGGGTTCAACGAAATAACTAAGAATTGCATTTCGAAACTCTAGCAACAGTGAACTGATCATAATATTAGTCATCATTTACCACTTTTCTTTGTTTTGGGGCATTTTTCGGAGCAATCTATGCTATTCCTCCTCTTCTTCTTTCTTAGCATCTCATATACAAGTGCCTTTTCTAACTGGTCAACCCTATGGGACAGTGAGCTTAACAATCGTGACTGCATTTCGTTCTTCTCAAATAGCTGCGTCATCATCTCCATCATTCTCTTATTGTCCACCATCATCTTTTCAAGAAGCTCTCTGCTCTCCCCATGCTCTTCTCTTCCCTTCATTCTGCTATCATCTTCTTCTTCTTCTACTGGTTCCTCTCCATTTCCGCTGTCCTCCCTTTGATCTACAGCTCCATATTCTGCAACCCCATTGTCGAAATTCGGCGGATTATTACACGAATCCGTCTGACTTTCAGCTTCACTCATTTCCGCGTACTCCTCTGCCGCCTCAACCTCTCTATGCATCATGTCGCTGTCAACTTCTGCAGGCACCTCGTCTTTTCCTGGCGAGTTCTTGCCTTGCTCTGAAACTTGAGGTTTCGGTATATCATCATCTGCATCAGGAGCTTCCAGACCAGCATTCGATTCCATAGAACAAGCCGTGGATTCCTCGATAATTGCTCCCTCCTTTTCAGTGTAACGAGGCGTTAATGCTACCTCATCTACGTTTCCACGCTCATTGCAATCATCGGCAGATTCAACAGATTCAATTTCTGTTCTATCATCATCACAACCGTCAGCAGGTTCACTGTTTGCCATTTTTGCAGTACAACTTTCATCTTCAAGCTCTGGAATTCTATCCTTGAGATCCGGAGTTTCTTCCACACCAACCTCCCTTGCACCAGAAATATCCATTCCCGAGCTCCGATCAACAGCTTCAGAATCACATTTGGCCGTCGCAGCTTGGAGAGTTTCATGGACGATATCTGTAGCTTCTTCCACAGCAGCAATTGAATCGACCTTCTCCTGCAAGGCAATAGCCTTCTTGATCACTGCCTTCCTGAAATTCCTAATTCCCAAATCCACGCCCTTCACCGAATCCAACCTCAACAGCAAACTCATCAGCATCTCACCAAACTTAATTCTCTCCTTAGCATCCCTCCGAATTAAATCCACAGTCTCTTCATTCGCGAGCCTCCTCTGTATCTCATCTACTTCTCTCTCAATCGCCACAACCTTCTTCACGCTCTTCCTCACCAGAAAACCTCTGAAAACCTTCTGAATTGTGGTGGCCGAGTCAGATCTACTCTTCTCCGACTCAACAAAACGGACAGGAATCGAAACCACCTTCGGAACCACCGGCACAGCTCGCCGATGCACCGGAGTTTCCATCATGCTAGGAACATATCGAGGGCGTTGAGGGTGGTAGTTCCAGTGATTTCTGAAGAAGGGACTCTCCATCACAATTGAGGACTCAAAAAATATCTAGAAGAAAGCAGATCAGGAAAATTTCAGACAGAACTTTCTGAAGTGAATAAATGAAGATAAAATGTCTCCGATGAAGAACAGGAGATATGGCCGATTGCTATATATGGGGGGGGGGGGGGG